TTTATATTCAGTGATCAAAGGTTTTTTTTTTAAAAATTAGAAAGAATTTTTCTCACTTCACTAAATGATAATACTGTTTTTTAATTAATTACATATATTATATAACAAGATTAATAGCCTGAATCATCAATTTTTCCTTTTGAATTAATTTTTAAAAGTTAGCTATAAACTTCTACTTCATTCTAATCAGAGCTATAAAATGGTTAACATAAAATTAAAAAAGGAAGTAGCTTTAACATCAATTCATACAATGTGTGAATAATGTCAACAAAAAAATGCTGCCTGATTTATAACCCAGTTTATATACATATATTTTGTATAGTTTTTGTTCTTTGAATATTTAAACCAAACTGACATGATTCTGAGATGTGAAGGTAAAAAAATAATGGAAGGATCATCAAAGATGATTAGACTTAGACCTTTCAATGATCCTGGTCATTTTTCTAATGCAAAACCTTCAATAGTCAACACCCACACCCCAATCATTTATCAGACCTGCATGCTTCAGTTGTCAGAAATGTACTCTTCTGATTCCTCCTCATCACTACACCCCTGCTCAGTGGTACTTAAACAAAGGCAGCGCAACAAAGTGTTGAACTCTTTTTTGTGGAAAATGCGCTTCGATCCTCGGGGAAGCTCTCGACATGAAGTCAAATCTATTTCCTCCAAATTTTTGCAGGCTGATATTATTTGCCTGAAAATAACATGGTGAAATTTTTTTTTAATTGTGTAAAGCACTGAAGTGATAAAAACATACCACTGTTGATTAAAAGTAAATCTCAATGTACTACAAAAAACGGAGTATAGGACAGAGTAGCCTAGCGGCAGAGAGCTGGACTGCTAACCCGTAAGTCTCGAGTTCAAATCCGGGTTCAAGTCAGTAGACCGTCCCTGAGTCCACCCAGCTCTGATGGGTACCTAACTCACGTTAGGGAAAGTAAAGGCGGCTGGGCATAGTGTTAACCACACTATCCCTTCATATGCGGAGGTCACAGAAACAAGTGAACTCTACTTTACTTGCTCCATAGGCCGTCAGGTTTAAAAGGGAACTTTACTACAAAAAACATCCATTTAAAAAATACTATTTATATAACTGTTAAAATTTTTAAAAAGATTAATTAAAATAATTAATTATTATAATACAAATCTTTGGCTGATGGTATGACATACTTGACAGTCTTGGCTGTAATGTTTGTTTTTGAAATGTTGAGATGCTTAAGTGGGTAGCCTTGAAAGTTGGGATCATCAACAACAGCATAGAGGTTAAGTGCTGAATCTAAGGCATTTGATTTCAGTTTGTTGTTTGAAAGGTCAAGTACTTTGATAGACATGATCCACTGTTGATTGACAATAATAAAATAATTTAATCACTTCAATAACATTTCAGTTTATATTTTGTTATTTGTTACTACACAGGATTAAGTAAGTTACCCAGAAAATTGGGTAGAAATCAATCCGAAGTTATTCAAGGTTTGTGACCCTCCATAATGAAATCTATCTAGGAATTCATCTGTCCTCACCTTCGCGAAGGAGTTTTAAATTAAAATACTACTTAACTTTATTTACCTTGAAATTTTTCTGAATCAGGTTTCCAAAAGTTTCCAATCAAATGCTTTAAATAAGATGTTACCTTCAAAATTCTTTAAGCCTAAAGGATGAGCTGAATGTGTATAAACAGCTCAGCTTGTAGTGGAGGGTCACATTATTAAAGTCCTTAAGGTTTTTTTAAAACAATTGTATTAACTTATTCAATTACATTTTATTCTATACAAAAAAATTAGTAAAGTTTAAATCTGATCATTAGAGTTTGCCTAAATGAGGGCTAATATCTCTGATCAAGGTTAGAGAATAAAAATCTTCAAAAATCAAATCAACTTAAATATCATGTATTTAATAAATTAAAAAATATAAAATATCAAACCTAGCTGAGAATAGTGATTTACAAGAAGAACCAGACTAATTAAATACAAAATACTCAAAAGGATAGTAAAGAAAACAGTACTACTATGATAGCCTTTTAATGTACAAATCAGTGTAGAGACTACTGTAAAATATTTCAAGTAGCAATGTTTCCTCTCTTAAAATTTTTTATTTCAGTTTTTAAAATTACTGGATGGCTATTTTTTCAAATTCTTTAGACACCCTCGCATTTCCCAATCTTGGGTTATTTCAAGATAAACTGGGATCCTCGAGCATACACACAAATACTTACAGAATCAAGACACTCATATAAATTGTTGCTGTCTGCAACTTTCCATTTCATGTCAGCAAGATTCAAACAATCAACAGCCTTGACCCACTTGGTTATGACCCCTGGCAAGAGATTAGTGCTGCTGATGTCTAGTTCTATCAACTTTGTTACAGATGCAAACATTCTGAACAGAAATAGATAGAGATTTTAGTTCAGTTGCACTATTTAAACATCAGTTTATATAACCAAAACAATGCACAATCCACTAACAAGAGATAAAATAAAGTACCAAAAAAATTTTGTAAATTTAACATGCTGTTTGTACATTTATAATAAAAGAACTCTGAAAGCAACTAAATGTATTTAAGACGCTGGAGTACACATCTGTCTATAAAGCAGAGTAATTAGAAGGTGTTCATGCTGTCATGTTACTCTTAATTTTCCAAAATTAAAATGTTTAGTCAGGATTTAAATCACATTCCATGTGATATCTTCCACTCTTGCCCTATATTCTATAGTCAAATATTTTGATAATGTCTTTATGCAAGAGTAAATTTTGATTAGAAAATTAAATCACTAACTTATTCTAGATAGCATCAACTGTTAAAATGGGCAAATGTTATAACTCTACTTACAAGTAAAACACTGCTTTATCTGATGGACTGGTAGTCAAAGAAGATTGAGAATAAAATTTTAAATGTTTTGGACCTGAATATGGCTGGTCTTTCTGCAAACAGAAAAAGTTTACAAAACCATCTAAAACTGGTGATTTTTAAAAATATTATGAAGGAAGCTCAATAAAGTGTTGTGTATGCTTTATTTAGCAATGACAGTTAATAGGCATAAATTTTGGTATCAAATATATCCTTAAACCGTCACAATGAGCTATTTACCCCTTTCCCATCGCTCAAATTAATCCCATCGATTCGAAGCTCTTTTAATTTGGGACAACTTTCCACAAACCCACGCATGTCAACCTTGCAGTCTATCTGTTTCAATGAAAACCTGGGACTCATTCGCACATCTAACTCTTCAAGGTTTGGGCAATTATCCTGTAAATGGAAAAATAATATTTAAATTGGCAACTTATTCAAGCATATATACAAGTTTGGAACAATTACCTATGAATAAAGAGATACAAACAAGTAACAGATGGGTTGGGTTAACTTGTCTAGGGTATACAAACATGTGAAGGCTAGTAAAAAGAGAATATTTAAAATTCAGATTTTTAAGCTTAATGTTCTATCTTGATTTTGTAGTTGATTTGATTTAGTGGTCAAGGGCTATCACTGTAGCTTGGTGGTTGGGGGTGGGCATGGCAAAGGAGATGTTTCAAGGACACTTAACTCTTAACCAGAGCTTCAACTTATGCAAGTGTTAAGACTAGATCTGACTGTAACCATGGATTAAAAAAAAAGATGGAGTGGTTTTAACTATGGCAAAACTAGTTTCTATCCTGAACAGAATAGGTTTTTAGTTCTGTTGTTTTTTTTATATTCACCTGAAGAGCTTTAAAAAAAGAACAAGCATATTTCTTGACAGTAAAGAAACCTATGACACCTGCCAGCCTCACTTCAACCAGTCTGGCTCCACAGCCAGAGATTAGGCTCTCAATGTGAAGACTCCTGAATCCTGGTCCACCTTGTTCTCCCAATAAGCAATAAAATATAATAATACATTCAACTGAATGAACGCTAATACATTCAACTAAATTAATTCTAACATACTATGAATCAATGCTAACTAATCATAAAAATAAGAGTCTGAAATTAAACATTAAGATGTCTTGCATGGAAGTGTTTGTTATGTACATTTCTGAAATATAATCCAAATTTTATACATCCATGTTTTCATGCAACTTTACTTTCTAGGTTTGTACTGTATGGGATGGTATGGTCCAGTGATAGAGCACACACCTGTATAAAGTTTCTGGGTTTAAGTCTGACATCACTGAGGCAGCCTAGTCTTAGTGAGTACCTCATGTTATTCCAAAAGTAGAGACTGACCACACTATCCCTTTATGCAGTCTGAAAGGTTTTATTCATATGTGTACTATGGACCATTTATGAACAGACAAGTGTATCCCCAACTTGGCCCAGACTTACTGTGTGAACAAAGGTGGTAGAGATATCAGAAATGGTTTTATTTCCATGTAGACAGATATGAACACAGTGTTTCTTCCAGACTTTTTTCTCCAGGGGGGGCACTTGAAATTTTCGGGGGGGGGGGGGGGGGGCGGTAGACTTTTTTCGGGGGGGCGGACACTGTTAAAAGTATATATTTTCTATATGAATTATATAAATTTCATTTCGTTCAGGGGGGGCGGTAAAATTTTTTCAAAGAGATGCCTGGAAGAAACTCTGTATGAACAGACAATGTATCCCAACCATGGCCCAGACTTACTGTGTGAACAAGGGGGTTAGAGATATCAGAAAGGGTTTTATTTACATGTAGACAGATATGAACAGACAATGTATCCCCAACATGGCTTAGACTTACTGTGTGAACACTGATCACAGAGATATCAGAAATGGTTTTATTTCCATGTAGACAGATATGAACAGACTATGTATCCCAAACGTGGCTTAGACTTACAGTGTGAACACTGATCACAGAGATATCAGAAATGGTTTTATTTACATGTACACAGATATGAACAGACTATGTATCCCCAACATGACCTTACTGTGTGAACAAAGGGGTTAGAGATATCAGAAAGGGTTTTATTTACATGTAGACAGATATGAACAGATAATGTATCCCTACATGGCTTAGACTTACTGTGTGAACAAAGGTGGTAGAGGTATCAGAAAGGGTTTTATTTCCATGTAGACAGATATGAACAATGTATCCCAACCATGGCCCAGACTTACTGTGTGAACAAAGGTGGTAGAGGTATCAGAAAGGGTTTTATTTCCATGTAGACAGATATGAACAGATAATGTATCCCTACATGGCTTATACTTACTGTGTGAACAAAGGTGGTAGAGGTATCAGAAAGGGTTTTATTTCCATGTAGACAGATATGAACAATGTATCCCAACCATGGCCCAGACTTACTGTGTGAACAAGGGGGTTAGAGATGTCTACCCTCCTGAGAGAGGTACACAGCTGTGGCAGCCTGGAGACCAGTTCTGGCTGCACCTTGCCGCAGCTGAACAGGTTGAGAGTGACAAGACCTGGGGTGTTGGTGAGTAGAGACTGTTGATGATAGAAGCATGCACACAACTCTTTGTTATTTCAATGCCACTTTTTTCTTTAAAAAATTTAATTCTAAAAAATATTCTTTTTAAAAGATGCTATTTAACACAATTCTCTACTGAGGTTTGATTAATGGGTGTAATGGGAACTTTTAAAGATAGAAATTTAATTTTACTAAAAATATTAATTTTTGATAGATCTTTTCTTGTATTCACCACGTCAATTTGTTTTTAACTTGCTTATAAAACCACATTCCATTAAAAAGAAGCCAACTTTACTAAAAAGATTACTGTTTTTCTCAAAATAAATAAAAATCCACAAATATATATCACTAGGTAGCCCAAACTAACAGTTTTAAATATGACTAGTAACTCAGTTGGTTATAAGAAGTATTAAATCCAAATTTAAAAACCCAAACCCTATCCAACCAGCTAGAAAGTCATTTTACTTACTTCAATGACAGAAGAGCTGAGCTTTGTTTGGCCAGCCAGGTTCAGGTTCTTGCACAGTGACAAATCATAGCTGAGTATCCCATCTAGTTTGGCATTTTTTAAATTAATGACTTCTATACTCAGGTCCAGGTATTCAAAGAGGGAAGCTTCTCTTGTAGCTCGGTGCCATTCTTTACAAACTCTTGATGCTCTTCAATCCATGAGATTAATGAGAAATAATTTTAAAACTCATTTGAATAAAACATATTATAATATAAAAAGTAATGCATTATACAAAATGTAATACTTCTGTTAATACTATGACAGAGATTAATTTTGAGATTACAGGTTTTAATAAATAAAATAAAAAGATTGCAATGAATGTTAGCGTGTCATTGTTTATATCATACTGGTTACACAAAAATCTAACATTTTGCTGAACCATGTCAAAAAAAAGCCAAAGTTATGATAAATATGAATTGATTATACTGTCCTGATCAGGAACGGTTCAGATCCTGATAAAACTATAGTAATAGTAAAGTACCCTTTGAAACCTCGAAGTCCACGAAGTAGGTGCAGTGGAGTTCACCTGTTTCAGTGACCTCTGGATATGAAGCACTATGCCCAGCCGGCTTTACTTCCCCTAACGTCAATCAGGTACCCATCAGAGCTGGGTGGACTCAGGGATGTTAAACTATATTGGCCAGATAATTTCTGTTATATTGCTTACAGAGTATTTCATTTTAAATGAGTATCCAGTATTTTAAGACTTTAGTAAAGAACACTTTTAGACAGTCCATGGAGCAGTTAAAGAAATGCTTCTTTTTCTTTACACATGCATTAATGCCTAGCTGCATTTACTTTCCCCAGGTATAAAGAAGAGTGGAGTGGACCCGGGGACATTCTATGGATACTAACTGAAGATTCAAACTCATGACTTTTGAGTCAGCAGTCAAATGCTGTAATACCTTTTTACCATAAAACTTTCAGATAAATAAAAAAAAAAATTCTGACAGTCAGGCGATAGACCTACCTTGGAATAAACTTAATGATTCCTTCAGCAGCTATACAAAATGAGAAAATCTTCACCAAAATCTCAGGGGGAAGCCAAAACGTTTCCTTGTGTACCGACAGTTTGGTCCGAGTAGACGCTTCATCTTCTGGAGCTAAGAAAACACAAAGATTCACTTTAATGATAAGTTGTCAAAGCATTCAGCTAGATATCACTGTGCTTTTTTTTGGAGGAAAAAATAACATATAACTTTTGAAACCGTATAATTATAAATGTCATGGTATATTATACTTTAAAAATACAACAAAATAATGACTCATAACTTCCTAAAACTATTAGTTTTCAATGCTAAGATATAGTTTTAAAAAAATGAAAATATTTAGCCTTTAACTTTAGGTTGAAAATTGCATTCTAAACCTCAACCCTTCAGTTATCAGTATAGATTAAGATAATTGATCAGAAGTTAGTTCTAATTTTCCTATAAATTTTAGAAGTTTTATGAGAAATCAATGCTTTTTGAAGTGATGTCATTTACAGATGAAAAATTATAAGGCCTACATTGATAAAAGTAGCTCATCAAAAGATCATCTCTTTATTACCAGGAACATGATCCTGTACTTTGCTCTGACAGGTTTGTTTTTTACGTGAAGTACTGTCATCACTCTGCTGCTGCTGCCTCTTATTTCTTTTCAAAATTTGTTTTGATTTTTTAAACGAATTCTGTGTTTCTTCTTCATCTGTAGAATGTCTGTTAGTGTGGAAAAAAGTAAGAACCAAGTTTTTAAAGAGAGTTAAACAATCCCTATAGAACAGCAACCAAAACATTGACCTCCTCAATCATTGACACAACAGATGACCTTGCAGTAAGTTGAGTAAGAAGTCATATTTCTTATTCTTTTTTTTTTAAGTACTAGACTAAACTGATATTTACCTTCCTGGATAGTAATCTGAATCATCGGAATCAGATGAACACTCCTCATATTTCTTTCTTGTAATTCCTAAAATACCCCTTTCTGTTCTTTTCCTTTTACTCATTATAAATCTATTAACCTTATATTACTTATAAGAAAATAGTAGCTATGATTTCTAGCACCTGTTTTAAAAAAAAAGATTTCAGCTAATTATTTGCAACTTGCAACTTTTAAAAGTATTGACAAAATTTCTTTGATAAATTAATTTAAATAAACTTCACTTATTCTAATCAATAATTTAATAATTATCTCATTTGGTATGCTAATTCACCTAAATTAGCTTTTGTTAGGATAATTTAATTAACTTAACTTACTATTAGGAATTTTTATTAACTATCTACGTATCTAGACTATAAGAAGTGATTTTTTTAGGTAAATTTTAACCCCTTTCTTCTATTTGTCATAGTATTCATAATCTCCTAACCCTAACCCACGTATTGTAACTAAGATTCAATTATAATGTTTTTGGCTCTAAGAATCTAAGGTATTGTATTGTATCAAGATTTTCTTGAACGCACTACTGCTAATCCAAAAGTCTTGAGTTAGATCTCTGGCTTGATTTGATGCTTACTTAGTACTTAGGCTACCTGACTCAGTCACATTAGAGTCATTAGAGAAGAAGAAAGTAAAGGCGCCTGGGTAAAGTGAAGTGCTAACCACAAAATCCCTTTGTATGCCAATTTCACAGAAATAAGTGAGCTTGACTTTATCGCCCCTATGAAATGCAAGATTTGAAAGGGTAGCTGGATGGCTGAAGCTTTGTAATACCTTGTTAGGATAAGAACTATGAGTATAGTCAGGATTTGGGTTAGAGATAACCAATATATAATAGCATCTAGATCTAGTGACTAAGGAGAGAATCTGAATATGACTAAGTAGGTATTCAAAATGAAATTTTTATAATGAAATTAAATAAAATTTAACACTTCCACCTGATAGCGACTGTTTTCATCAGAACAGAAACACCAAATTTATTGATGTATGTCCATTTTTAAAAAAGTTATGAATTTTTTAAAACTCAAAAATTGCGTTAGCTTTTTGAACAGTAAAGGGTCTATTTGAGACCCCTACTAACTTCTACAATAACTAAGTTAGAACTCTCAAATTTCTTGCACACACAGCCAGTAATACAAATAGCAAACCCAATTTTTTTCAAGGTAGTCAGACAGATATAAATAGAAAATTTATTCACATAAAAATGAGCCAAAGCACAATTTTACCGAAGTACGAAAAGGGAGACAAAAAGTTAATTTACAGTCATTTTTAAAAAATCATAGAAAATCAACTAATTAAGCCACATTAATAATATAAATGTTCTATGAAAGGAAATTCAAACCATGTTAATATAAAATAAGCAGGTAAAGAATTAATAAAGAAAGTAATTAGCGAGACCAGATTCAGCAAGGTCAGTTTATAAAAATTAGAAATTTCATCCTTTTTCAAAAAATTATTAAAAAATAATTAAGTAAGGTATCTTAATAAATTTTACACCAACTTAAAGCACATGATGTTCTTAATATATAATAAACACAGAGACATAAAATAATCATTCTGCAAAACAATACAAGGCATCCTTCCTTAACGCCCAAAATCAAGAATTTTCAATACCTAACATCTCGCAAAAAGTGTTCTTACTTTTAAGAAAGTAATATAAATTGTGTAGGAAACATGTTAGCATTACTTTGTTATAAAAAACTAAATAACTATACTACTACTTTACTTATATCCTATAATAATAAGAAATTCCATGCATTTTAAAAACTGACGAAGTAAGATAACTAATTAAACTGAAATTCTTTTTAAATTACCCTAATAGAGTTGTGATGTTCATCTAGTTTTGTTACTCTGGTTCCTAATCATGACTTGTTTAGCATAAATTTACTTGTTACTAGTAGTATATTTATTTCTTCTAGTTAGTTATTGATCAAAGTCAACTTCTGTAAATGTCTAGGTCCTAACTTATACAATTATCAGAAATCTTAGAGCAGGTTCAAAAAGACAGGTCAATATCCTGATTGGGAAAGTTCTCTATGAGGTTGTGTAGCATTGTAATTAATAGTCAATATCCTGGTTGAGTTTGTCTTCTTCAAGGTTACAGATCAAATTATGGAATCTAGTAAGGGATCCTTCCATTGGTCCAGAGTATAGAAAATGTCTGTGAATAAAAACAATTAATTAGCATTTCAAATATACTGACTTATATAGCAGGCCTGTATATCTTTATACCAACTTAGATATCAATCATGTAACATTACATCATTATAAATAATAAGCAAAGTGCATACAATACTAACATTTGACATATGGTTTCCTTCAAAAGTATTCATGAGTCCTGTTGTTGCTTTCACAACAATACAAAATTTTATGAGTTTCCCCTTTCTTTTATGCTATCTTGCTCTGTAATTAGAATAATAATATTAAAAGTAAGGCTGCTCAATGCTTTTTAGATATTAAATGTAAGCACTATAGATAGTTCTACTACTAGATCTAAATATTAACATGAAAGCAATAGTGAATCTACCTAATCTAAGTAGATCTAGACTAAATCTAGAAACAACTTTGGACTAAACTATTATGGAAGGGGGGCTACATTTTATTTTAAGTCGTCTTTACAATAAATCTAGAGATAAAAAATGTAAAAAGATCGTAATATTCTAAAATTTAATGTAACTACTGCACATATATAGAATAGTTAACTATTAAACTAGGAAAGAAAAAAAAAACAATGCTACAATAAATTGAAAGTATGCTGTTAACCGCTGCGGTAATATAATAGTTGAACCCAACACTACGAGAAAGTAGAAAAAAAACATGGCGGACAATCGGCTTGAAATATCGACAAAATATTGATAGTTTAATCGGCCGATGTTATTAAGTAACATAATTTACTAAAACAAATTAAATTCTATCATCCTTTTAAACATCTTTTTGATTTAATTGTGCATTCCTTTTTTATTTCAGTGACCATAAATTAAATACAACTGACTTTTAAAAAAGGCTAGATAATTTATATTAATTTTTTGGAAAAAAATTTTTTAAGCGTGGAGCAATTACCGATAAGCGGACACTAATATTCAAATGTATTAAAGCAGCAGTTAATCATAAATAAATAGAATATAGCTAGTAATATATTGTGCATTCAACTTACCTGCACGTGTTTTTAAATCCACTGTAATCAACGAATAAACACAAAATCTCGCTCTGAACCGAGGTCGGGTGTTCCGGAATTCAACAAAATCTTGACTCAAGCCGGCGAAATTTAGATGCGGGTCGTCGCGATTTGTATACATTGGTTTCATTTACTGCGGTCCGACCCCATACATGGAGTGTTCATTAAATTGTAACAGTTTTATGGCAAATTGGATGCCCTTTCGGAATATACAACTTTGGCGGCTGTAAAATTATTTTTTCATGGAAAAAAATCATTTTAAAATTTTAAATTGAACATTTTTAGCATTTAATTATATTATACAGCTGGTAAAGTTATACCATCTTACAGAGCTACCATTCTTCTTTCTAAATCAGTGGTTTCTAATTGCGTATGTGTTATGGGGTCGGACCGCCGCGCGATGCCGCAACGCGACCAAAAAATTTTAAAACCGGCTTAAATTTTTCGGCTCATTTAGAATACCTAGACTAAGAGTCTAAGACTCACTACTCACTAAGATTCTAAGATGTCCGATGAGGCCTGAGCTAGAGAAAGTAAAAAAAAAAATTAGCCTCTTCCCTGCCCCATTCCCCCTTTTTCTGAGCTAACATTAATTTGATAATTGTAGACTACAATTAGATCTACTGTCATTTAGAATCAGATTTTAGATTTCTAGAATCTAGATTCTCTAGATCTAGACTCTAGACTCTAGAATAAAATTTTGTATTTGCCTGGCCTGGCTAGTAACAAAATCTAGATGGGTGCCAGAACAAAATTTTCAAAGAAAGAACAAGTTTTAATTAATTGGCAAAATTAGTTCTAATAAGAATCACTTACTTCTAATTCTAATATATCTATGTTTATATTTTTTAGTAGTAATCCTTGACCGAATCACAAGTTTAATAAATCTGCATTAAATGGTGTTCTTAACAGTTGCTTAAAGGGAATAATCAAAGCTATACAAAAAGTATTTTACTTACCAAGCATTCAAAATTAAAAACGTGAAATGGAAGTCAACTGTCAACGATGGACTGTCAATGATGTCAAGGTCTGCAAAATCACTTTATTCGCTAATTAAACATAATAAGCCATGTTGAAGTAGAAAATATAGATCTGGGTAAAGTTTAACCCGATTTTTCTCTGTAACTACTAAAACTATAACTTTCTTGCTAGGAATTTTAAATAAATCATCGGGACACCA